CACAAGTTTCTTATTTCTGACTTTATCTCAATGATAGCTTAACAAAATAATATTATGTGTCTGATTTCAATTTAAAAATTCCACTATTAAGAAAAATCTAAGATGGAAATAGTGGCATATGGTTGTAATGTAATCTCAGTACTTTGGGAGGTTGAGGCAGGAGGATTGAAAGTTCAAGCGTAGCTTGGGCATCTTAAGCAACTAACAAGATTTTGTCTCAAAATAAAAAGGAGGCTGGGGATGCAGTTCAGTGCAAAGTTCCTGGGATCAATACCAGTACCGAATGAATGAACGAATGAACGAACGAATGAATGAATGAAAAAGGAAATATGTAATCACCTTACGGACATTTCCCCTTATAAATACAAATGTCAGCTGGGGGTGGGCACACACCTACAATCTCAGCACTCTGGGAAGCTAAAGTAGAAGGATCTTAATTCCAAGCCCTGCCTGAGCAACTTAGCAAGACTGTCTCAAAATAAAGTTTTTAAAAGGGGGGGGGGCTGGTTTGTAGCACAGTGGGAAGGCCCTGGGTTCACTCCCCAGTACACCAAAGAAAAGGGGGTGGAGAGAGACAAAGGTATCTGAGGACAAGTTTTTAACATTTGGGAGAAAAACAAACAGAAACAAGAAAAGTTATATTGGTGTTTAAAAGACAAAATATTCTTTGAACCTAAATTTTCTAAAATATGAAAAATTAAAGTCATTAGATCTTCCTGACAAAATCTAAGGCAAGGCCAGTGTCTTTCTTATGCTAATGTTTCAGAGGATTGTAAGGAAAGACACCTTTTGATCCTTACAAACTACTGATACTCTTCTAGTTCATATTAGGCATCCCAAAACTCACATTAATAAAATGATTAAGTCAATTTATGACATTATAAGACAAATTCTAATTATAATCATTCTGATGTATCACAAATTTCCAGAACAGTAATGTTTTTAACCACTTTAAAATGGCTTTTCAGAATTATTTAATTTTGTACATTTTATCAAAAGTCTATTAACAATTTCTTGTCATTAAGTACATTCATTCCTGCTTAAATATTCCTTTCTCTCCTGTTTCATTTTTTCCCAATATATACATTTATTTATTTATTCGTGTCTTTGTCACTTCTGGTACCAACATCTGTCTTAGTTCCTGTCTCATCTCTAGGACGACACCCACAGAGGAGGAGAGGTTTATTTTGATTACAGTTCATGGTCATCTGGCTCTGGGGAAGAAACAGCGCGGCAGTGGAGTAAGGTGGAGGAAATCTGTTCACATCGCCGTAAACAGGAAATAGAGCAAAGGAAGCAGACAGAAAGGGAGAGGTACAGTACCTCCCAGGTTATGCCACCACTGACTTGCCTCCTCCTACCAGACCCTGCCTTCCAAGCACAAGTCAGCTATAATAGCCGCCGTAATCCAATCACCTTCCAAACACATGAGACCTTGAGGGGCCACTTTTGGTCCAAACCGTAACGAACAGTAAAACTTTACTCTGCATTGCCGCTATTGTATCTACTCTTTGCTCTGTTTTATCAATGTATATTTTACGTTCTACCAAAAAGCATATAATATTGATATTTTCAAGCCAGTTTGATAAAACAAAGACTCTTATGCATGACAAAGCAGAAGCACATGAAATATTTTTCTGTATGTGAAGAAGTACACAGATTATTTAGCACAAGCTTAAATACTTGTCATGAGGTTGCATAATCACAATAAACTCATGTATAAATCCTAATTAAAATGTTTGTGAATATTTTCTCTCCCTACCCACAAAACTTTTTAAAGTCATCTGGAAAGAGACAGCCAATGAAACCATCGGGCCTAGAAATTGTAATTCTAAATAAAATGCTGAGGTAGAAAAGTAGGAAAGGTAGAGAGAAGGACAAGGGGAATCAATCTTTAAAAGTGACCAATTTATAGTCCGATGAGGGAAACATACAATGCAGAAAATTCTTACCACTCCCTTTGGTACTGGGGACTGAACTCCAGACCTTGTGCTCGTGAGGCAGGCATGGTTCCACTGAGCTATATCATTGGCCCCTTTCTGTTCTCTTCAGCAATTTTCTAAGAAAGTTTAAGCCAACAGCACTCATTTGATCTCAAACTGAACTCTCATTATCAACGGTTGTGCAGTGCTAAAGAAGTGAGATAGTATACTGTTAGAATCAAGGTAAAATAATCAGTTAATCTGAATTAGAACTCTTGCTTGGTTATCCGGGGGTGGTGGTGCACGCCTGTAATCCCAGCACTCAGGAGGCTGAGGCAGGAGGATTGCTGTGAGTTCGAGACCAGCCTGGCTTACATAGTGAGTTACAGGTCAGTCTCAACTACATAGTGAGACACTGTCTCAAAAAAAAAAAAAAAAAAAAAAAAAAAGATAAACAGAAATCTTGCTTGGTGCTCGCTTTCAGCAGCACATATACTAAAAGAAACCTTGCTTGGCCATTTATTAGCTCTATGATTTCAAGCCTAAGCACCTTCACGTATATTAATAAGATATTAAAAATACCTATTTCACAAAGTAACTAAATGAGATAAATGTAATTACTTAGCAAAATTACTGAGACTAAGAAAACATGTATTTAAAATGTCAGATGCTCATCATTTTTATGTCTACCGTGAGCAAAACATTTTGTTCATGTTCTGATCATATCATTGCTCCACTTGAAATTATTCAGTAGTGTTCCACCACTTTAAGAATTAACTCTAAACTCTTTTTTTTTTTTTTTTTTTCCGGTACTAGGGATTGAACTCGGGTCCTTGCACTTTCGAGGTGAGTGGCGGAACCACTGAGCTAAATCCCCAGCCCTAAGTCTAAACTCTTTGATGTTCTGTAAAGGTCTTCCATAATCACCCTTCATCATTATTCCTTTCCTGCACTAAACCAAGCCCTAACAGATTTCAGTTCTGCAAATACGCCATATTCCAGTGCTGGCCTCCACTCTGCTCATATAATTCCATTCGCATGGAATATTATGAACATTCCTTCCTCTCTCTCTTCTCCTTCACTGTGTAACTATTATTTCTTCTAAGAGCCCATCTGTGACACATAGACTAGTACAGATCAATCAGTTTAATGTTCCTGGAGATATTGTGAGACCAGAATATGTCAAGACTGAAGGTGAAAACCAACATGATGAGAATCATCTACTAGGGCTACAAAAAAAAGCATGGGACTGCTTACCCTTTAAAGTGATTGTTAATTAGCAGTAAGCATATTTGTAGTTTAAGCTAGACATTAACAAATACCAACTTTCAGACCAAACCAGCCAGCTGCCCGTTTCTGTGAATAGTTTTATTGGAATATATTAGTAGTTTAGTATTATCCATGATTGTAAAATTCAGCAGGAGCTGCAACAAAGGCCATGTGGCTCACAAAAACTAAATAATTTACTATCCAAATAAGTGTGCTGACTCCTGAGTTTAGGCCATTGATAACTGGGTTTTCCTACTTATAGTCAAAAGTGTCCTGCATTGGGATGTGCTTTCGTTTTCCCTGCTACAAAAACTCCTCGGACTCCACTGTTGTTACTTGTATACCTTCCTTTCCATGCTTATTTTTCCATTTTCATGGAAGCTCTAAGAAGTACCAGCACTAAAATTATGTCCCTATATTTAACATTGTACCTGATAAATAGAAGGTATTTAAATATTATTGACCAGGCAAGTAAATGAATGTTCATATTTCATAAACACTAAATATTTATGAACAACTAGTATGAACACTGGGTATTCTGAGTGACACAAGAATACAATAGGTTCTGAATGGCTTCAAGATCAGATTTATAAACTAATGATCTAAGCTTTAAAAAAAAAAAATCAGGATGCACCTGTACATATATAAGTACATACTTCTATAGTAAAGGCACACAATGACAAAAAGAAATCCTTATTTTGATTTTTGATCAGGCCAACAGGTAAAAAACTGCATGCACTCTGCTCTACTTAGGAGAAAGGGCACCCTGACACAAAACTATTCCATATTAGAGTCTACTGAAACTATGGAGTTCACTGAATGAGATTATCATACTTTTCTGGACTCAGACCCCAGGGCTCTTCAATCGACATTTTTTATTTTTACTTTGTTCATTATTTTTGTGGGGATTACTGTTAAGACATAATGCTAAATACAATATTATTACTTATGAACCTGGCAACCAGGAATCAGTCTAATAGGACAAAATCAGCTCTGAGAGATTTTCACACAGGAGGTTGAAACACTGACAATGGTGATAAATTCCGAGATGGTATACTTTATAGAACTAAAGACTCCAATGACAGTTTTAAATAAAACAATCAGTATATTTAAGGTGCTGAAAACATTAGTTTCATTTTTAACATCTTCTAATTTGATAAACAGCTATGAAAGGATTTCAACCTCCAAATCATTGTTTTAATAAAAATGGATAAATTCAGCCTAACATACATATGCACCATTACTATTGCCCTAATCCCTATTCTAAATGAAATCAGAAAATAATAAATTACATACTTCCCTGCTTCTTTTGCATCTTTATTTTTTCTTTTAACAACTTTCCAATAAACTATTAGATGTCTTTAATCACTATATAGTTTTTACATTTTAAATTCATATTCACAATAAAAGAAAAAGTTATGCAAATTTGCCTTTATTTATGTATTAAACATTGATACTGCACTTCATGTTGTGTGTCTCGGTTGTTATATTTAGTTGGGGGGGGCACTGGGGATCAAACTCAGGACCTTGTGCTTGTGAGGCAGGAGACATAACGACTTAGCTAAATCCCTGGCCCTGTTATATTATTATTAAATGAAAACAAACAGAAATGTGCCATAATAAAACAATGTAACTAATTATCTTTTTTGTTTTCTCTTATATTCTCTTCTCTCCTATATCTATCTTCTTCCCGTCTTACAGGAGTTTAGTTATCAGGATAATAGGAGAAATCTCACAGAAAGAAAATTTAGTTTGACTATTGCTATGGAATCAGGGAGTCATCACTTCATCAAATGTGCATCAACTTACCCACGTTTGATATGTAATTCTTTGTCCTTGCCTTTATCCTTTTCTCTTTTCTCTTTATCTCTGCCTTTACGTCGATCTCTGTCCCAGGATCTACTACGGGTTCTTCTGTGACTGGATCTTTCACTGCTTCGACTATGGGATCGTGGACGAGGTCTTGACCTGGACCTATAGTAAATAGATTTTATTAAATAAAAGGAATATTTCTCATTTACAAATCTGAAAAAAAATTAGCTTTAATTTGAAAAAAAATTAGCTTTAGTTATGAACTCAAAAATTAACTTCAGGAAGCAAGTATTTAAACATGATTCTTTATGAAGTACTCAGTTAAAATGACAAGAAACATACGTTGCAAAAAACTACTTTGTAAGGGCCGGGGATTTAGCTCAGTGGTGCCACACCTACCTTGCAAGCACAAGGTCCTGGGTTCAATTCCTGGTACCAAGAAATAAAAAAAAAAATACCACTTTGTAAAAAACTAAGGTTAAATCAAAAACTATTTACAAGTGAAAGTCTTATGTCTTCCCACTAGTTACTGTTTTCTTCTGTATGGAGTCTCACTATGTTGCTCTGGCTCTCCTTGAATCCTAGGCTTTAAGCGATCTTCCTGCCTCAGCTTCTCAAGTAGCAAAACTACCGGCACATGCTACCCTGAACAGAAACATGTGAAAGATGTAAAGGTTCCAGACAAATTTTAATGAGATAATCAAATCTCATGAGATAATATAACAAATCAAATGCATTTAACGAATATCCTACTCTATTATGACAGAGGTTTTCCCTGTGCCTGTGATCTCTGCTTCTTATCTATTCAACCCTATTTCTTATTTCTAATTGTTTCAAGAAATTTACTCATCTTTACAAGTCCAGCTATTTGCATAAAATGGTAGTGTTAGGTAGCTATCTCGGTTACCTTTCTTGTTGCTGAGATAAAACACCTCAAGTCCACAATTAAAGGAGGAAAGGTGTACTTTGGCTCACAGTTCAGATGTTTCAATTCACAGCTGGCTGGCTCCAAGGCAGGGTGGCGTGGCAGCACAGGCAGGCAGAAGGGAGCAAGCAGCAAGCAACAATAACTGACCCTCTTTCTGCCGCTTTCATTTTATCCAGGCTACCCACCCAGGGTGGGGCAGCCTTAATCCTAGCATCATCCCATGAATTGATCCCAGCATCACATATCCTAGATCCTCTGAAGAGCCCCATATAGGACTGCACAAGATTCTGGGTCACATCTAGATACAAGCCATCACAGTAGGATACATTATATGGTAAGAAGTGTTAATTTCGGCTCCTGGTTAATAGTATTAACAAGAAAGCTTCTACCAAAATGACAATTGTCAAGGACCAGAGAATTAAGCCCTAATTGGCCTCCTCTGTGAGCACAAAGGAGTAAGGGGGTGATTGCATATTGCATATAAGGAACAAGTGAAGACAGCAGAGGTTAAATTGTTTGCCAGAGAATATACTAATGGCTAATGGAAACACGTTGAATCTTGTGTTACTTTGATTGCTTGTGCCTCTGTTTGGGTGAATGAAAGAAAAGCAACCCAAAGGTTCTGAGTTCCTCTGCCTACTACAGGTATGAACCCCAGTGGGTCCCAGCAAGTTAAGCTCATTTCATGTCTCTCTGTCATTCATCCTCCTTTGTCCCCTAGGTCAGGGAGGAACAAAGCAGTGGGTCTAGGTCCTGGAGCAATGCTGGATGGGTGAGCTGGCTACAGCTGGCACCTCTAGCACAGATCTGAGCCGGGGTTGCTACAGGTGGTGCCCCAGCATGGGGCCTGAGGTCATAGTCGCCTGCAGACAGTTGTACAGATAACTACTTAAAACAACTACATGAAGGTACTAGAGAATGACCTAAAGCATGGAGATTCTACAGGGAGCCAACCAGTGAAAACTGCAAACACCCATGAGAAAGTTGCCGATTTTATCAGAGCAAGCCCATGTCTGTAGCATGTATGAAGTAGATTAAAATATCCAGTATATGTTTAAATTCTTAAAATTTATTTCAGTAAAAGATGCACTGTCATTAATCCTCCTCAAAGTGCTCCCCCTTACTTCTAAAACACTTATCCCATCATTGTTGCTACTTTCTGAAGCAGTTCTGGAAGTTTTCTTTCATGTGTTATAGGATGTGATTAAAAAATATAGTGAGGGTCAGGGATTTAGCTCAGTGGTACTATCACCTGCCTTGCAAGCATAAGGTCCTGAGTTTGATCCCCAGTACATACATACATACATTATATATATATATATATTTCACCAAATCTGGCACTGCATAAATTCTGGCTCTCCTCCAAAGTCAAAATGACCATAAAAGGTAAATATTTTGAATTGATTCAAGACATGCAGTCAGCCAGAACTACCAAAAAGACACAGGAAAGGAAGTAAGCCAAGAACATGTTTTTAGATAAAAGAAAAATAAAAATAATCATTAAAGGCAGGACTGTTTTACAGTAAATTGTAAAGAAATCTCTTCAGGCTGAAGGGAAAACAGATGGAAATGAATCTTTTGGAAGAAATGAAGACCACTAGGAAGACTAAATATATGGATAAAAACCACAATGTTTACTTTTTCCTATTTAAAATGCAAATAAAAATTGCAATGTGTTGTTGGGTTTATAAATAGAGGTACATATAATTTCAGGAATATATTCTATACCTCTAGAATAAAATATGGATTAAGAAAATAAGCCTATACAATATAAGGCTTCTATATCTTTACATGGCTGTATTTTCCTCTGCATTTTTTGAAGAGGGAAATGGTAACTCTAAGTAGAGCAAAATGGTAAGCGCATATATGGTAACTCTTAGAGCAATTACTTTTTTAAAAAATCTAATAGATAAAAGGAACTCTTTTTTTTTTTTTTTTTTTTTTTTTT